GAGGAAAAGTATCCCAGCCAAAAGCTCTATCCACAAACTAACAAAGGATATAGCCGTGATACGATGCCCAAAAGAGGGGAGCTTTAAACCCAATAACTGCAAAACACCAATTGAAGGGAGGGGATCTAGAACTATGGATAAATCGACCAACGAAAAGAGCAAGTGGTTTGTTAACCTGAAGACCATAGATCGACAAGGAGAGACAAGCCAATCCTTACCACTAAAAAACATAGACAAACACGCCGGAAACCATCCAAGAAAAGTAGATCTATGGGCGAAAATATCTAATCTAGCTTCGTCCAAACCCTAAGACCAAAAGATCTCAGATGTGAAAAAAAATTCTTCGCAGACAGACCCACAAACCTGTATAGAACCCAAAGGATGGGGTTTGAGACACTGCACAGCCACCGATCTAACGAGATCCACCACCCAAAGCTTTCGATCCCTTCACCGCCTCATCCAAAGAACAACAGATGAGACAAATCCTTCAACGGCGAATCAAAAACCAGTCACGGCGAAGAGAAATAAACTAGCGAAAATTAAAAGCATAATAAGGGCACGATGGCGGAGAAGGGCTCCGACGTCGGCCAAGCTTAACAACAAGATCGCCTCTTTTATCGCCTGTTTTCGAGAGAAGAGTTTTTTTTTATGTTGATGACACATCTGTTAAAAACTACTTAATCAAAAATATGTAAAAAGTCAGTTAATCCATCAAATTTCGTGTAATTACAATAATACCATTTTATTACTTTAAAACAAAAAAAACAAATTTAATAATTATCAATATCAATATCCTTGTTCGAAAACTCGGCCGAGTTGACGATTCGGCGGCCGAGAAAACATGCGGCGGTGCTCACCGTGTCGAATTGGACCAGATCGGAGACATAACGCGGCACACCGATTATTCACTGCCGAGATCGTGGTTTTATGAAAATCGGCGGTTAATAAGAAAATCCGATGAGAGGAATGAAGAATTTTAAACCTAGAGATAGGAAGAAACAAAGCTTCTCTGGTTGAAAGTGAAGAAGGATCGATCGGAAAAGAAGAATTTCAGTTTTGGATCTTAAAATCACGAGCATCTACACAACAAGGAAGAAGAAGACAAGTTTAATAACTCATGTGCAAAGCACGTGAGAAAGTCAAAGCATATAAAAGTCTTTGTTTACTTTTTAATTTTTTAATAAAAGGGAATTATATGTTTTCTCTTTATTTAGTTTCAAGAAATATGTTAAAATTAAATCTACAAATAATGTAGACTTGAGGTAAAAAAATCTATGTATATGAATTTTTAATTTTAATGCGTTTTGTATAAAAA